ATGCTCTGTCAACTCTAGTCTTATGTTATTCCACTTTATATTTAAATGACTTGGCAGATTCTGTTACCTCTATGTGTGTTCTTCCAGCTGAAGGAAGGAGGCTAATAGTGTTACCTCAAAAGCATGATACAGAAATAAAACCTACTATTCTAGTCTACATCCCAAGTACTATTTAGAGTGGAAGGGACTTATAATCTGAAGTCAAAAAAATTACATCCGCACACACAAACTGAGGTATTTTAACTGTGTGCTGGACCCATTCCAGCTTCAGTGTGCTGGGTGTGTGTAACTGCCTGAGCTACACCATCCTTTACAGACTGAAGGGGAAACGTCAGATGAAGATGTATTGATGTAAGATGTGGTGAATGGTGTGAGAGATTGATTGGGTGAGCACTGTGAGCCTAGTGGGACAGTGTTGTTGGGAGACCTGGATGCTCATTTCCTCTTTACCGCTTCACTGGTCTCAGGCTTTGCTCTGGCAAAGGGTTGCCCCTTTCAGCCTGACAGCTTCCAGCCATCCCTGGTGCCATTGCCTTTGCAGCACTGCTCTGTTATGGTACCTTTGCTGAGAGCTTTAGCTAATGGCCTTTTTTAGTGCTTTGAAGGAATTAAGGAATTAATGAAATGCTACTGGGATTCTGCCTGGTTTTTAGGCTCCCCACTTGTTCTTTGCCTGAGACTGAAAGTGCTGTTACTCTCTGGTTTGAAACTCATGCATTGTTACTTCTCATGCAGTGATTGTCTTTGCTTCTGCATCAGCTGATGGTCCCACACCACATGTCTCTGCAGTGTCTGGGAGCTGGATGTTTCATCTCTGTGTACCAGTCAACAAGCACTTGCTGCAAACAGCAGGGCTGGACTGAACTTTATGGCATTTTCTTGTGATTTCTGTTTGTCTCCATCTCAAATTTCTGAGGTTTCATTAGCTTTAGGTATTCCTCCTTCAACAAGAGCACTATGTAGACCAGACAACTATTGCTAACTGGCTGCCTCACATTCTTTAGAGGGTAAAAAATTAATGACTTGTTTGAAAGTGGTTGAGCAGAGTTGGAAACTGCACATATGTATGAGTTTGGTTAGGTGTGTTTTTCATGCCTTGGGGCTCCCTGTGCTATTGCCCTCCCCACCTCTGTCTCCCTGACATCTTTGCAATTCCTTCCATCATGGTTTTTGCTTTTTCTGATTTTCCAAAATCTCATTGCCAATATCTGATTTTTCATTGTGATCTTGATAGGTTCTTTTATTAACTGTTAGTAAATATAGAAGGTGATGTAAGACTGACTGTTTCTACAGAAGGCTGCAGTACAGGAGATTTTTTTCCCACTGCTTATACTCCAAACAGCACTGCCCTGTGGGGCTGAATTGTCTGATTTATACTTTCTCTGTGTGCAGCAACATCTAGATTGGAATTTTTGGCTTTTCCCCTTGTTCCTGGTTTCTGATGGCTTCTCTAAATTTTATACTTTTTTTTTTAGTACATTTAAAAAATCCCTTAAATTATAAGTATTGCAATGTGTTAACTAGGGGCTTTGGGAGGGAAATTCCTAATCTTCTGCAAGGCAATTCTGTTGAAAGAACTTCAATTAAACATCTTCTAAAAGATCCAAAGTAATTGGGAGTTGAGAACAGAGTGTTGGTTAATGGTATCTCTGGGTCAGGCTCTGAGCCTTAGAAGTCTGATGCTGCAAAGCTTGTCTCTAGAGACAGGACAGGAGAAGCCAGGGCCTGTTTAGATCTCTGACAAGAGATACCCCACAGGAATTGCAAGGAGTAGTATCTTTACACAGCTATTTTTTTTTTTTTTTTTTGTCTTGTGGGGGTTATACCTCTACCTAAAACCACATTTTAAATCTGTTATGTTAGTGGTTCAGCCGCTGTTCCTTCACTTCATCTTTAAAGGCTAAAAGTTACATATGCACATCCTTTTGAAATGGATTCCTCCAGTGCTGTGTCATCGTGTGTTATTGTATCTCCAGAGTCACCACGGTGTGGGTTTGCCCTGCTCTGCTGGCCCTGTCATTACTGCTCTGTAGGAATGTTTTGGGGATGCTCCCATGCTCCAGGGAGGTTGGGTGGGTGCTGTGGCACAGGCTTTGCACTCAGGATCCCCGAGCATGGGGCAGCACCTGCTGTGGGTGACCCACCCATGTGCAGAGCCTGCCAAAGTGGGATGGCCTACAATAGCCATTTTCCATGACAGTACTTCAGGTGAGTAGTTAATTTACAGAGAGTCACACATTCATCCTAAACAGTCAAGGTTTTTCTAAAATAGATACTTCACAGTTGATGAGAAGAGTAATTTGTGTGAAATTACGTGTCTTCTGCATCTGTAAATGTCATGGCTTATAGCATTTTGCGTCTGAAATGCTCTAGAAGTTCTGAATTTATCTACAGCCTTAATTACTGCCCATTAAAACCTCTCTGGTCCAGACCAAGTAGCAATGGAGATGCATGGGAGGGCTGACTCACTGAAAGGGCTTCAGGGATTGTGAAAAGCATCAGGTCACCTCAGTACGTTAAGAATAACCAGGCCTAAAGATCAGAGTTACTTAAAATTAGAGACTGAATAAACTTCTGAGAATGTTAGAATATGCTAAATGTTCACACGAATAACTGTGATCACTTTTTCTGCACTGGGGTTAGAATGAGAATAAAAAGGGAAGACACTTCACAAAGCACAGCAGTCTTTGCTTTCTGCAGGAATGGTGTGTATTAGTAGTAAAGGTGAGCTAACTGCTGTCTGGAGGTGCATGGAGCAGGCTTGCTATACTTAACAATGCTTCAGGATCACAGTGAGTGCAATCATCAACTTTTTACTACCATGCACTATCAAACAAGTATGTGTAGTGGGTGATTTCTGATAGAAAAGGAGAAAGAAAAAGGAGAAGGTTTTAAAATCATGTGGAAGGACTTGGCCCTGCCTTCTACCTGGAAATATTTTTTAACTCCTGATTTTTTTTTTTTTTTTTTTTTTAAGAACCTGAAAAACTATTCCCCACAAAACAGCTATTGGAATTGGAAAACTTTATCCCTCATCTCATGAGGTTCTGAGTATACAAGTATTACCTTAGGGATATGTCTGATCATCTTGAGCTAAAGCACACAAGCTCGTCATTCCTAATACCTTAGAGGATTGATGCTTAATTGAGGAGTTAGCAATGCCAGAAGAGGGCTTTCTGTGGGGCTTTCTGTGTTAAGTGTCACAAAATAGGGTTTCAGAATCTCAGACAGAAGCAGCATCGGAGTGCTAATTGCACTGGGGGTGTTTTCTAAGTGGCAGATGAGACTAGAGACAGACTGATTGCTCTGTCATTTGGCCAGCCCCAGCATACTGCTGTGCTATCCTAGAGGGATGCCAGTAACTCCTCTGTGACCTCTGCTACTGATAGATGGGGGAACACTCCCCTGACCCCGGCATTTCAGAAGCATTGACTCATCTTTTCTGTTTATTGACACAAAAATCAATTTAAGTTGTGTTTTTCTGGGACAGGTGAATGGATGCAACTTCTTTCCATCTTGCTTTTGTTGTGTCCATGCAGTTTGCCTCGTCTCTGCATTAAAAGCAGATGAAGCGACTGGAACTTCTAATGGCTTTTACAATGAGTCACAATTGCATGTCTAAACTCCTTAGACAATTTTTATAGTTTCTCACTAGCACATAGGATGAGAGTTTCTCTTTGGTAAATGAGTTACACAGACCACTCTGAGCATAACAGTGTTCCTATTAGAGGAGTTCTGCTAGCTTATGTCAAAGCTATATCTTGACTTAGTGTGTCCATGCTCAAACCTCTGTGATCCTTTCTCAGTTCTCATTTTTAGGAAGTTCCTTCATCTCATATTTACATAGGGAACCTCTATATTAATTTTTTGGGGATAGAGGGAGTGAGACTAGATTGGCTCCTTTACTCCTTCCCCAAGTCAAAAATTCTCTTAATATACGTTTATGTGTGTGTATATATGTGTGTATATATATATCCCTTTCTTTTCCTTGAGTGTACAGGTGCTCCTATACAATGTGATTGACTTGCATATTGCTCTTGCTGACAGGGTATGAGGGTTCTTAGTGGTGTCCTAGTCCCAAAAAGCAGCAGCAGTAGCAACAAACATTTTCTAGACACTTTTTGGCCAAGTGAACAAAGTCATGGACTTAGCAATGAGTGCTGCTCTGTGGCTTCTCAGCCCTGGAGGGCTGGGTGTCACCTTTTAGAAGAGAGAATACGAACATGTTAGGTGGGGTGCATCTTATGATATCATCCAGCTGCCAAATCCAGAGGCTGAATGAAATATCTAGCTTAATAAAATGAATAAATGAAGTGCTAAAGTGTCACTGATTGCAACGTATCTGCTGGTAATGTTTAAAGAGACAACCTGGCGGTTGTTACTTAAAGACACTGAAGTGAAAATCTGGAGGTGTAAGAGCTGTAGTTTACAGCTGTGGCATCTCAGCGTGGGGTGATGGATGCCCTGAGCATCCTGCCATGGCCAGCATGGGGTGGGAGGCACAGGGAGAGCCCGGTGTTGAGGGCAGTGTTGGGAGTGCTGCTGTCAGTGGACCTGGCAGCAAATTTCTCATACTAGCAGGGTCAACTTTGCCTGCTATCAACGAGGCAAATTCTAAATGAAGTGGCTTGCTAATTGCAGTTTATGTTTTTCATCTCAACACATTTCCAGTGAAAACAATGGTGGCTTTGTCTACAGATGTAGAAACTTAGCACATCAGTACCCTTTTATGAAATACTCTTTATTACCCTGGAGGAAGGGCTGATCCGATCTCTTGAAAGTTTTTGTCAGCTTAATTAGCCGGAATAGATTTCTGCTCTGCAGGAAATGTAGTTGAGCTATCACTATTCGTTTTACTATAAAAGCTGAACTTCATTTCTTGGCACTTGTTATAACAAGTTGTTTGGTTTAAGGACTGGGAACTGTGGCAGTTAAAGTATCTTGAATGTTTGTTGTGATTTTCTGATTCAATAAAACTTTGCAAAATTCTCTATTTCCAGGACTGCACACAGAAGTATATTGTGAAGAACTACTTCTACTACTACTTGTTCAGGTTTTCAGCTGCTTTGGGTGAAGAGATTTTTTATATCACTTTCCTTCCATTTACCTACTGGAATATTGACCACTCCGTATCTAGAAGAATGATAATTGTTTGGTCGGTAAGTATTTCTATGATTAATTTAAATGTTGATTCTGTATCCATAGCAAATGAATATTTAAGAATAACCCTTCAAACAAACAAAATCCCTTCAAAGAAAAGCACTGACACTATTTATACATAACTCAGGAATGCTCAGTGTGTTCAGGAATCAGAGGCATTGTGATGCTGAGAGAGGAGCTGAGAGGCATTAGCTGACATAGGGTATCTGTTCATCTCTGCCACATCTTGGACTGACTTATTTTTTTCCAGCCCAATCACAGATTCAGCTGCTTTTGATAAGGTTTCCATAGAACAGTTTGGAAAACACGTCCTTCCCAATGTGTCATAGGATTTTAAGATAATTATTCATCATTTCAGGAAATCTCTCTCTTGTTCTAATTTCTTCTGTATAACTTCTTCTTATAGTTCTTGCTTGGTTGAAATGACTGTAAACCTGATAGTAAGGGGATGTGCAGGCTGCAGTGGGATAAGCAGTAATTTGAGGGGCAGGGGGGGAAATCAGATTATCTGTTGAAAGCTAAGACTTAAAAGCATTGATTTTTTGTTAACATGAGAACATTCCCAAATTAACTGATTTCTCCATCGCTTCAGCCTTCACAAGTGTGGTTTGTGAGTATCCAGAATAATGTATTTCCATTCTGGCACTGAAAAAACGGCAGATAACCAGGCACTTCAGGCTGAGATTGGCTGTTTTGTCACTGACATTGCTCATCTTGGTATTGATCAGATCTTTGCTGCCCAAATGCAACTATTTTAGAACAAAGAAGGGAGGTAAGTGAGCACCTCTGGCAGATGGCAGACCCTGGAGGTTTGGCTGTCAATTGATTTAAGAAATCGAAGTTTGGTAAAAATTTGGGTTTGATAGCTAGCTTTTTTTCTTTACAGTGAAGCTTCTCTGTGATTTAGTCAGTTCTTTTTAATAATATTCTGTCTTTTGACCAAATAATGTGATGAGAAATAATAAAAACTATTTGAATTCCTAATACGCTTCAAATACACACGGTCTTGGAGAGAATTGCTCTGTGCCAACAACCCTAGTCAATACATTTTATAGAGAGAACATGAAAAATGACTTGCAAGTGAAATGTAGAAGTAGGTGGACACTGTATAATTAGAGCTGGGTTTTGGCCAGGAGTACACCTACTGCTTCTGGAAACATGCCACAGAAGATGAAAATTGGTAGTCACTGCCTTCTGCGTTTGCATATTGCTCAGAAAATGACTCCTTAGAGCTCTTCTCATGCCTTTATGCAGACTTACCTTGCCTTTTTCTTGCAAAGGGTTCATCTGAGTACTGGCCAGACCTAGTCTGGTTTAAGACCTCATCAAGTCTATAAATTCCTCGTGAGAGTAAAAGGAGGGACAGGCACTGATCTCTTCTCTGTGGTGACCAGTGACAGGACCTGTGCAAATGGCCTGAAGTTGTGTCAGGGGAGGTTTAGGTTGAACATTCGAAAAAGGTTCTTCACCTTTTTCTGGGCACTGAACAGGCTCCCCAGGGAAGGGGTCACAGCCCCAAGCCTGACAGAGTTCAAGAAGCGTTTGGATAACACCCTCAGGCACATGGTGTGATTGTTGGGGATGGTCCTGTGCAGGGTCAGGAGTTGGACTTGATGATCCTTGTGGGTCCCTTCCAGCTCAGCATATTCTGTGATTCTGTAATTAGAGTATGTGATATTATGATTATTAATACTATTTTTCCAGTTACCGAGGGAGTTGTGGAGTTGCACTTTATAATGAAAAGGGGAAGTTGTTTTAAATACACGGGCTTATGACAATCTGTATTTTTAAAACGTGTTAATTATATGTAATTGTGAAATGACTAAAGATGTCTGTGCAGGCCGTGAGTTAATATTATGGCAAGCTCAGCTGGGTAAGTTTCTTGCTGGAAAGAAGGCTGTGAGCAGGAACTGGTATTAACAGTGCTGTAAGTGGTGCTGATCTGTCTTATAGAATCATAGAATGGCTTGGGTTGGAAGGGATCTTAAAGATCATCTGCTTCCATCCTCCCTGCTGTGGGCAGGGACTTAAACCTGTGAGTTTCTGTTGCAAGTTGGAAACAGTGGCAGTTTCCCAGGATGAATCAGGGGAGTTTCTTGCCTTAAAAATTAAAGCAGTATTAATGCTGTTTACAAAGCTTTCCTGCCATCTTATCTGTAATATTTTATGCAGAGCCAGTCACCCCCATTTAAGAAAGATAATTTCAAACTGGAGCAGGGCCAGGGATGATTAAGGAACAGACTATTTTCTGAGCAAAGACTGAAAACTTAGGTAAGTTCTTAACAAAATGAAGCTGGAGAGAGAATGGGGCTGGCTGCAAACACTACGGGAAAGGAGTTTCTTAAAATGAAAGTACAGCCACAAGAAGAAACATGCATAAGGCAGTCATAAATAACTTAAGTTGAAGACAAAGGTTGTGAAATAGCCCTAGAAGGATGAAGGGCAGTAAGAAAAAGTATGAAGAGGGTTTATTTCAGCAGCAGCAGAGGAGTGGACTTAGTACCCTGGGATATCTTCTCCAGCCCTGGGTCCCCAAAGCCAGGTACTTGTGCTTTCCTGTTTAGGTGAATGGCTCTGGGAAATGCTGGTTGTGGAATCTTCAAACACCATGTTGTGCTTCCAGCAGTGCCTTTCCTCTGAGGATTCACAGCACATGTGCAGGCTTTACCCTTCTGGATAGGTGGAGGAAATAACTGAAACTTCTGAGCAAGATGCTGGGTCAGTGCTGAAGGTACTCTGGTGTCTTTGCTTCTCTTCTCCAGAAATTTGAAGTAAAAGCTCTTGAACCTGCACAGACAAAGCTTTGAAGCCTGTGACTGTTGTGACTTCAACCAGGAAGTACAGAGATGAAAAAATAGCTTCACACAAACCAGGTCCCAAATGTACTTTAAATTCATTGCACATCTCAGGTCAAGAGGCGAAGGCTCACTTTGGTTTTGTTTGTTTGTTTGTTTCTTATTTTTTGCAGTTCTTTCAGATCTGAAAGCTTTATTTTGGTGTGGAATTTCAGAGCTAGAGACCTGGGGATAAAAATAGTTACAGTTTCAGTTTGCTATTCAGCATGCCTGGAAATCTTTTTTTCTCGTTCCTTTTTTTTTTTTTTTTTTTTTGCCTAGGGTATCCACACTTCTTTATAGCCTATAAAACTTTAATTTATGCAATATAAATAAGAGCTGGCCAGCGTGGACTTTGTTGGGGCAGGTGTGGAAGCTGTTGGCATGTGACAGCGATAAGCTGCTGACTCAGGGGTAGGCGGCAGCTCTGAAGGAAGGCAGGGTTTGGGGGCCTGGTGATGCCAGGTTTGGGTGCCTGGTGATGCCAGGTTTGGGTGCCTGGTTTACCAGGCTGTGTGAACCCCTCTGGGCTCCCTGAGCAGCACTGGGTGTGGACATCTTCAGCAAGTCTGAGAAGGTCTTGGGTCTATGGCCATTTAGCATCTTGCTTTCCAGAGGAGCATTTTTTCTACAGCCTGTCACCACATAGCTGCTCAGGAATGATGAGCTCTCAACTCCATCTCTCCTGGTAACCTGGAGTTTCTGAACCAGCAGGAGTTTACCTGCAATTGGGATGCCACTGACTTTATTATGAGGTGGTTGAATCCCCAGGCACTGCTGTGAAAAAAAACACTTTTAAGCAAACTTTGGGTTTAACAATTCTTATGTGTTTGTTAGTTTTACTGCCTTTGCTACATTTCACCTCAACAATCCTGGAACAGCTGATAAACATAGTCACTCGAAAGTCAAGCTCTTGAAAGTGCCATATATTACACTGCACAAGAGCATGTAAAACTGTATTCAGGCACATAGGTAACTACATAATGTCAGAATACAGAAGTAATTGGTCCCTAAAAGAAAATGACATGTGCAAGTTGATAAAATGTTGATTGAAATGGAATTTTGTAAGAACTGGTAGCTGTACTCCACCCTTGAAGAAAGAGTGCCAGTGAGGCTTTCACAACTGAGACCAGCTGTGAATCATTTAAGGTGAAGTTTAAATTGGCAACCTTTAGTATTTCACTAGATCTACTAGGTATAACCGTTTCCCAATTTTAGGTGTTAATGACAAACCAGATCAATGCAACAGTACTTTTTTCCTGCCACCAGGAGACTGGCCCCAAATTTCTTTCTTTGAGCCCATTATAAGACAGTCAACTCCCTTAGAGTTTTTGTCCAAAGACTTCTCTTAAAGACAGAGTGAATGTGCTAGGGTGTTGGTTGGTTGCACTTCTGGGAGCACGAGATCTTGTTCTGGTTTTGGGTTTCTGAAGCCTGAATTGAGACGAAGCCCTCCCTCCTTATATGTACATATAACTTTTTCTAGGGAGCTGTCCATGTTGTCTCTTCCTCTCCCTATCTCCTGCTGACCCTTGTTGTGATATGTGTGCTGTGATGCTTGTGGTGGGCTGGGGACCTGCCTCCTAAATTTGCTGCTCCCATCGTGGAGCTGGGACAACCTGAGTGTTTGAGCATCCCACCAGCTCAGTGTGACCTCGAATGCCCCATTGAACCCAACTAAACCCTTGGAAAACATGTAAAGTTCCTGTGCAGCCAGCTCAAGGTTGATGCATTTCCTGGAAAACAACAACCATGCTGGAAATGGCAGATCCTTGAGTTCCCACAGCCGCACGCCCTCTCTCATGAGGCATGTGTGCCACTGGCATATCTGCATGCAGGGAGCAGCCAGGTGGTTCAGGGAGGGGATGGGGAGCAGGATACAATCAGAGGGTGGCTTAGGGCCTCCCCAGGCTGGGGGTGCCTGGGGGTCCTCTGCTCTACAGAGCTTCCTCCACGTGGGCTGCTGCCAGGGCGAAAGGCCAACAGTGCTGCTCAGTGACTTTCATGGTGTATTTTCCTGATGCCAAACCTTAGTTCTTGGCATTGACTTGTGGGTGGGAGGAGTATCTCCACAGGAACGTTCTCTTCCTTGCCCTGCTCCTCTTTCCCCATGACCCAAGTGATGCTCGAGGGACACAGTCACAGCTATTTTGTGCTGCAGTGTTTCTCTGGTCAATTGAGCTTTCTCTGGGGCGTGCTGAGAACAGAAGCTGTGAATGGTGCAGGCTGGGTGCTTGGTTTAATTCCTGTATGGTAAATGAAAGTCACGCCTGCCTCGGCAACCACATACAATTTTGCTTCTGCTTGACTAATCTGCAAATGCCAGTTTATTAATAGTGCATCCTTCTTTTTTTCCCCCTGATGTACTTGGTCACTCTTATCAGTGCACAGTGTTATGGAAAAAAACCCAAAGCAACGTCGTTTTCAAACTGTGAGTTTCCTTTCTGAGAAGATGACATATGCTACTGCAGGCCAGGGTTTCTAGAGCCAGGTTATAGAGTTTCTGTTTTGGAGCCAAAACAGCACATTCAAAGTCAGGCTGCCACACTGTGAGTCTCGGGGAAGAAGCCGCCAATGCTTTCTGACCCCACGTCTCCTCTTGAATTTCATCTTGTCCTTTTAGTAGATCAATAGCATAGATAGGAGAGCTGTAAAATCAGAAGTTGAAAATAAACGTGTTCTGCTTTCTCTTTGTTAGCTGAATTATTACAGAATACCAAAAGAGTTGCTCCTCCTGACCTTCAGGTGCCTGTGGGAGTCAGGTGTGTCCCTGCTGTGCGGAGGCTGTGGCAGGGGAGGGATGATGGAGGATGCCGACACACAGCACACCTGCAGCACTCAGCCCGTTTCCGAAATCCTGCCAGACTCGGGGTCTGGGCAGCTGCCATAGGAATGTTCCACAGGGGAAATCGTGCCCTGAGGCTCTGGTGCCATGCCTCTGCATGCAGAACTGGCTTGGCTGTGTGTCTGTCTGCCCTCCTGTGCATCTGCACTGTGCAGTAAATCTGCTCGCAGCGCTCTTGCTTCCTGCCACGGGAGTGCTGCCTGCAGCAACTGAGGGAGGGAAAACCACTGCAAATGCCAGACAACACCTGCAGGTGAGAAAAACCTCTTCCTAGATGATTGACTCAATACCAGAGGCGTTCAAATGTCAAGGAGACAGGTCACGTTATGGGACTTGAGATGCTCAGAGGGAAGGGAGCAGCCTCTCACTCCAGAGGGAACTCCTGCAGATGTTGGAACAAATGAACTGGCATCAGGATCTGTGGGGATGCTAATGCCTCAAGTTTAATTCTCTGGTTGTTCAGTAAAGCAAGATTTGTTAAAATTGCAAAGATAGATTCACCTTGTTTACCCTGATGTAAAGGCCCAGGTGAGGATATATTTTTGGAGGTAGACCATGTATACGACTCAGAGCAAATTAAGAGGAAGCTCTCAGAAAAAGACTACAGAGGCTGTTGTGCTGCTATAGCAACTGCCAATTGCCTTTGTGTAGTAAAATGTAATGCTCTTGACCCAAAGTGGCAATAAATCTTTGCCTTTCCTTCACCTGATGTCCTGGCTTACTGTAAATGATTGCTGTTGCCCTCGCACAGCACAGGCCACCCCAGCTGTACTGGTAGGTACCAGGGAGGAAAGTCTTGATTTTAAGTTGCTTACAGTATTAATAAAAAATAATTTTGAGAGGGGAACATGTAAGAAGTCTTTACTCAGGTTTTTTTTTTTTTTTATTGCTGCTTACATTTTTTGTAAGGATTTAACTTGGAAGATTTCAGAGTCATTTTCATTGCATTTGGAAGGCATGGATGTGTATGAGAAAAGAGCAGGAAATTCACAGGATCCAAAACTGAATAACAGTGTCTATGGGCTTGGATTTAGACAAAAACACTGGTGTATCCAGCTTGCTGCCCTGGCCCATGTGTCCAGCCTGTGTGGTTACAGATGCAGGACCCTTGGGAGGGATGGCAGCTCAGGCACAGTCTGTGCCACAGCACTCTAGGTAGGCAAAAAATGTCAGCAATGCAAGGAAGAAGCAAACAGAACAATTAAGCATGGAGACATTATTAGCTTCAAGGTTTTGCTCTTTGCCATGCCTGCAAGAGAGCACACAGCACCTGCTTGCTCTGTGCTTGAGGGCCTGTTGCCTCTTCTATTCAGTGTTCAGCCTTGGGCTTGGAGACCCCTTGGGTGGAAATGTACACAGGTACAGGAAAACTTTTGGAATGGGTTTTATTTTAGATCGGAGATGAGCGTGGTTTGAGTCTGGCTCCTCCAGCCGGTGCGAGCAGCACGTGGGGTGCAGGCAAAGCAGAGCAACCCCTGTGCTGGCTGGCCTTTAGACATGAGCACTTGCCATCTTCCACCTCTTGGAGAAGCCTGCCAGTCCAGCTGGTGGGGGATGTTTTACTGCACCCACAGCTGCTGCTTCTGCCAAACAATCCGGGACATTGTGTGTAAAGGCACGTGCACGGTACCCAGATAAACTAAGGGCAAAGTTCTGGTGTGTCAGAGATCAGCACTTAGTTTGAGCATGCTCTGGATTCCTCTTCATGTTTTTATTGAGGTTGTCTCACCTCTCCCTACTGGCTATACAATATGTGTTTTTAAAAAGCAGAAGGGTCAGAATTTAATCTGGAATGCCAGGAAGGAGGGTGTTGTGAGGAAGCCTGGTATTTTTGCTTACCCATTCCACCTCCAGCATTCAGCCTGTTTGTCACCATCAGAGGAGTCCTAGCATAGCCTTCATTTTAGAGATGACTCATTTCCTCTCCTGTAATGCTCTTGCGTACCAGGGCTAATAATACTTCCACAAGTGGAAGTCATTATTACAGAGGACTGCTGATAAACTGGCTCATCCTACCTTGCCTCTCAGATGGTATCACAAATGGCAGCCTCAATGTTTTATGTTCTGCTGGCTGGAGAGAGTAATTTTGCTTTCTACCCCGGAATTTAATTAACTTCCAAAGATGTGCCTGCATCCATTTGGAAACTTGGTAGCATTAACCAAATAAACCCACACAGTGTTTTCTAGAAGACATTTGTTCCTTGAGCCTTTGTTTACTGTGAATGGTCTGGGGCAGGGTCTTTGCTGTCTCCCCTGTGCCCTGTGTGTCTGTAGGAGCAGCCAGGAGTGTCACAGCTGGTGCTGATAATGAGACAGTAACGTGATTCATGTGATGAGGGATAAAGGCTGCAAAGGCACCACCAGTCACTTTTCCAGGCTCTGGTGCTGGATGTAAGTCTATCACTCCCTGCAGCATGTGCTTTGCTGTAGAGAAAAGGACGTGACTTCGGGCTTTTTCCTGGTCCTGACATGTGAATCCTGAATCCTGACATCTTTCTTTCAATGTGAAGCCATTTTTTAAATGGTTGGGGGAAAGAGAGGGATGCAATGTGGCTGCTGACAAATGTGGCAGTGGATGATGGTGTTGCTGTTGTAGCATATGGCTAACACCAGCATGGGAAGGATGTTATTTTAAGACCCCTCCTTTGCTAGTGGAAGTGTGAGAAGCAGAACAGCGAGCCGTCTCACACAGCAACTGAGCTTTCATGGTAGACATCAGTTAACCTGATTTTTGTATTTAAAAAAGAAAAAAAAAAAAAAAGGAAAAAAGGTTTGCTTTGTTTTGAAGAACCTTCTTTGCCTATGTCTGGCTACACTATGTGAAGGGAGGAGGCTGGAAATAGAAAGGAAATGCATCCTTCAGGGACAGCCTGGTTGATTTTTCTCAGTCCTCACTGGATGCTGAGAGCCTGCTGCAGGAAAGAGGATGCTAAGGAGCAGAGGATGTCAACACAGTGGGTGCCCTGGGCGTGGCTGGATGAGCTGCACCTCTTAGGGATGCTGGACCAGCTTTGCCTCTTGCCTCTGCTTCTGTTGCTGAACTGAGAATGCAACATTTCCCCCCAAAAATAGTATTGCTCTGCTTGGGAGCTAATTAATGGAGCCTTTGCTTAAACCTCTGGTGTCCCAAGCAGGGAACAAAAGCCTTTTACTGGGGAGTTAGGCAGGAGAACTGGTACTTCACGTTGCTTGTCCAGTTCTCCCTCTGCTGCCTCTCTGAGGATGCTGGGGTTGTCATTTAATAACCAGAGGGGTGGTGCATCCCAGAGGGTTTCCTGCAGCACCTCGTGCAGTGGGTGGAGTGGGAGCTGCTGGGAATGGGGGAGCTGGTGCCGCACGCAGCTGGGAGGGACACGGCTGGGCAAGGCAGTGATTTGAAGATGGTTGTGGGAAAGTTTCTCTTATAGCTATTTTCTTTGAAAGGGAGTGGGTGTGAGGGATAGGGAGGAAACTTAAACTTCTCTGGCATGGGGTGGGAGCCAGCTGTCTGCCTCACGCTGTCCTGTATTGCTGCATCTCGTCAGCCAACCCTCCTTTTGGTCCCACTTCTGATCAAGTTACCACACGGTGCAGTAAAACCACCGCTTCCTTCGCTGGCTGAGCTAATGGAAACCCCTTTAATAATTCAGCAGGCAAATTCTGCGCTTGGAGGGGTGGATTTTGCAGGAAAAAGCATAGAAATACAGGTGGTTCTTGGGTGGGCTGCATGGGGGTTGGCTGTGCTGACTGACTGCCCTGTGGCCTTTCCTGTCCCCAGATTGTGATGTACATAGGCCAGGTCTCCAAGGACATCCTCAAGTGGCCTCGGCCCCTCTCACCACCTGTGGTCAAGCTGGAAATGAGGACGAATGCAGAGTACGGGATGCCTTCCACCCACGCCATGGCAGCCACAGCCATCTCCTTCTCCTTTTTCACTGCAACCATGAACCAGTACAAGGTAGGGGGTACGAAAAAGAAGAGGAGAAGAAAAAGAAAATACGTGTCTGAAAAAACCCACATATATCTGCTTCCAGCAAGCTACGCAAAGCTGGCAAATCCAAAGCTATTGCCACTTTCAGAGGAGCTCTGCATTTATTTTCACAGATGTGCATGTATTATTTCCTGTGGTTACCTGTAGCTGGCCAATAATAGACACAAAAAGAAATTTAGCGGAAATCTCCTTTTTTTTAATCATGAAATGTGGGCAGGATGCACTGCCCTGCCATGGTTTGTTGAGTTCACTGTACTTTCTCACATGGGGTGACCATGGAGGGAAGGTGCCCAGGGCCAGCATTTTGTGCTCATCCCATGCCCACCAAGTCACTGCTGCACGTCAGGACAGGCCAGCTCCCAGGGAAACCAAGGAGCTCTGTGTCACCTGACTTGTGTAGGAAAGGAAGAGCATCCTTGGAAATCCCCTGGCTCTAATATGTGTTAGACTAACAGCATAGAACATGATTTGAGAGCCTGTTTGCCAGAGAAGTAACAGCAATTTCACTGCACCTGGAGCTGTAGGCTGCTTGGGGATGTTTCATCATTATTTTCCCTCATTATCTTTCTGAAAGGTTTATTTCCTGAAAACTCATTTCTCCATGATGATTATTTTCATTTCGTTTTATGAATCCAAGCATGCATTTCCTGTACTCTAGCAGTAATAACTTCCTGGCTGGATTGTACTTAAGCGTGTTTCTCAGCCCTCTCAAGTGTATTTCAGGGATAAATCCACGTAGCCAAAAGGGCTTGCAGTACAGCCAGGGGGTTCTTGCTGACACAGTGTCCCTGGGTGTCCCCCCTGCAGTGCAGTGTCCCCTGTGCAGGGAGAAAGGTGGACACTGTTCAGTGAACGGTGCTGTGTCCTGGGACTGCAACTCACAGCAGTGGGGATCTCTGGGTTACACTGAGATCTCTGAGATGATTTAACTTCCAGACTCCTCTGGTCCCAGCTGTGAAGCAGCAGGCTTTTCTGCTGCCCACAGCACGGGGATAAGTGAGCAGGTCAGTCGTGCCCAAAGCTGTGCTGCCAGCTCCCTGGTCACTGTGTGGTAACTGCTCAGAGCAACTTGAGAGTGGGATGGGGACAGGAAGCCATAAGATGGGATATTTGTCATCCTTGGAAGATCAGATCCATCCCATGCGTCAGAGCTGCCAAGAAGACCTGGTCAGCAGCACCTTCTCCTCCTCCTTAATCAACAAGTGACCAGTGGGACATGCAGCTCTTCACAGGGTGCCTCGCGCTTCTTGGAAGCTGCCATGGAACAATAAAACTGCTGTCAAGTAATTAAATTATTTAATTGCCTCTATTAGGACAGAAAAATCTTCCAGAACATTATGCTGCTATCTTCTCAAACTGCCCTCATCATCAATTACTGATCTGGACTAGCTCCCAGGCTGCCTGCTGGGGGAGTAAAGTGGGTGTAAACCCTCTGAAGGCTTAGGGAAGTGAGGAAAAGTAGTGTTTTGTGAACTGGGAGTGACATCTGCAGCTGGGTCTGGGCTCTCTGTTTGGTGGTTGGAATATACTGGGTGAAAGGGTCAGAAAAGAGTTGTTATGCTTAAAATTTCCACAGATGCATTTTTGCTCTGACCTGTGACCAGCCTGGTCAGCTGGCAGCCTCTGGCAGAAGATGGAGACTCTGTCAAATTGGGTGAATTAATTTCCTTTATTTGTATTTTGGGTTGGTTTATTTTTTACAGAAAAATCTCCTTTTTGGACTGAAAGGAACCCAGCAGCCCACTCGGTTTCAGGATTTGAATGAGTAGATTAAGGGCTAATATGTTAAGCTTATTCTTTACCAAATGTAGGAGGGTTTTTTTCCCTTTTTATATGTTGATTTATTCAAATGCTTCTTTCCATCTTTGCAGGCAACTTGGAGAGGGAATTAAGCAAAAACAGCTTCATAAGAAGATGATTAGACCTTTAAGTGTCACGGGGAAGAGCGGTCCTGACTGCTCTGATAGCCAGATTGTGGTTTCAGCCCAGACATTGATTGTCCCCTCTCAGCCCGCTGCTCGAGGACTATTGATCACACTTCTGCTCAGGCTCTGGGGCTGTCACAATCCCCTTGGCTGAGCTGAGGCTGCAGTGCAACCTTGGACATCGCTTGTACAGGCTGTGCCTTTTTCCTTAAGGTCTTTAGCACTGACATGCTAAAGGTAGATACTCTAAGGGAACAATTCTGCAAATGCCATCTGTTTCCCAGGATTCCCCACACTGAGACTAGATTTTTGCAAAAGCAGCACGACAGGTAATGAAATTACCTTCTAGCAGGATTGCATGTTAGCTGATGTGGGGTCTCTTCTCAGGTCACATTAATCTCTTCAGGAAAGTACAGCTCAGGAGCCGCTTCCCAGCACGAGATCCTTAGGTCAGTCCATCTGCTTGGTGTAATGGGTGTATTTATTTTATTATTTTTTTCCCTTTTCACAGTATCCATTTGAACTCGGCCTGGTAGCAGCGTTTGTGTTTTCGACCCTGGTGTGCCTCAGCAGGCTCTACACGGGGATGCACACAGTCCTGGTAAGGTTGTGCCTCCAGCTCTGCTTTCCTACAGCAATTCCCATCTCCCACTCTTCAAACAATGTGTGACCTGCCTTGGCCCTGCCACCACAGGGATATAAAAGTTGTGCCACTGAATTTCAGGCTGTACATTCAAAAAAGCTGTGAGGAAGCCCTCAGGCTATTGCTATTTGAGTGCACAGTAGTATTTGGGAGGCAGAAGCGTACGGAGGTTGAGGAGCCGGGTGAGGTCGGGGTGGCATCTCAATTGTAGTTCTCTATTTTGAAATTTTAATTGTGAGGAATGCACTTGGGCAACTGAGGCTGCTCCTTAGCTAAGCCTTTTGTGCAACAGTATCACTGTTTTCAGCGAGAAATACTCTGGGGCTGGTTTAGCCTGGGAGTGTTCGGGCAGGAATAGCAGGTTGGTGACTCACGAGGGTAAACCATGGCAAGTGAGCTGCCCTTGGGGGCCCAGGGGACAGCAGGTCTCCTGTTACCATACAAGGGGCAATTATAAAAATATTATGACAAGTTTCGTGTTTTCAGCTGGAAGGAAAATAATTCTTAAGGGACTAAAATGCACAAATACTTCATCTGAAAATAATCATAAAATATCTGTGACTTTGTGTGACAGATTGGTTGGGCACAGTTGCTTGGAGACATCAGTCCTGTTTTAGGAACAGATTTCAGTGTACCTGTGATAACACAGTAACTGGTTCCTTCCTGAGAAGAGCAAGCACTATTTATCTATTATATATAGTGGTCAGGGTGGTGGTTCAGCTTCCCAAGTATGGATAGAAAATCCTGGCTACTTCCCTGCAGGAGTTTGATAGGCATTGTTGGTTGCATGTGCATAAATAATTTAATCTTTTTTATTAAGTAGTAATTATGTTTGCAATGAGACTCGGTGACTGAAAGAAAGGGAGCCCTTATGAGATTAGGGTTAGCTATAAAATATAGCTTGACCTTCCCTTTCAGGCCTAGTGGATCAAAACAATATCTTACATCGAAGCTGGAGACGTCCTTTCTTGGCTAGTGACCTTAAGTCAATCAGTAGAAATTCTTTGCATACTTCTCTTGCTGGTCCATTATAGTGAAAGACCCCTCTATATTTAGATGGATTTTAGGGTAAAGAAGAAAAAGTCCTTTGTGCTTTTGACATGGTAAAAAAGGGCTTTAAAATAACCAAAAAAAAAAAAGCTCCTTAGTTGACGTGTGAGCAATGCTGCCTTTCAAAAGGGCAAATATTCTTTGCTGGGTTCTGCTTCCTGTACGTGCCATGGTGGGAATGGAGCTGGGGAAAGGCCCAAGGATCACAGCCCAAATGCAACCCCTCTCTCTGCAGCACATTGTGCCCCCCACAACGACTGGTTCTGGTGTCCCACCTGCAGTGAGTGGTTCTTTGGGGGAACAAGTGCAGTTCAGAGCCATTTCCCACACTTTGAGGGATTTTTAAACTGAGGTCTTAATACAAAGGATATAATTATGTATTAACCATCATATTTTAGTAAAGTAAATGGATGGATAACATATATCCACCAACTTGGTGTAACTGAACTTTTCCTGTTTGAGGAACCAGAAGAGGAGTGACAAGGAGGGTTGCATTGTGTGCTTTGCTGCATCTGGAGCCCAGGTGTAGAACCTTGTCTTCTGTAGTCTCAGCCCTGAAAATCAGTTTGTATTTCAGCACCAATGGTCTTGCTTTTGAATCAGGAGTGGTCTCAGAAAGCACAGTCGTGTCACTAGAAGAGATGTCACCAATAAAGACCTTCTGGAGAGGCAGTAAGCTGGTATGAGAGCTATCTGCATCATTATAGCTGTACCAGAATGACTACTATGCATAGGGAAAAGGGAATAAACACCCATTGCCTGGGCTGTTACTGGGATAACATCACCCAGCCAGAGAATGGGGTGGCAGCAATGCAGTTGCACTGCTTAGAGGTAAATTAGTTGCAGCAACCCACCTTCACCACCTCAACACCAGAATGTCCCACGTGTGGAAAAACAGGGCAAAGGCAGGGCCATTTCTTTTAGGGCTTAACTGATGGAATATGAAGGCCTGGCAAAGAGGGAATCTAGAGTTACCTGGAAAGGCCAAATCAAAAATTTGGACACATTTTGAAACAGCGAATCTGTAAGGTTTTAGCAGTTATTTTTAAGGAACAAAAAGCAATAAGACTGGTGGTTGTGTCATTTGCCTTTTTCATCAGAGAATTGTATTTTAGAAAACATCCCTTTGCGTGGCATCTTAAAACATTGGCCCAATTTTAGGTGCCTGCCTCAGTGCAGTGAACACATTTTTCTGTCTCAGCTGATGAAGTCAGTCCCTCCAGAGCCACTGCTGATGTGCTGAGAACCTCGCTGGTGCTGCAGCTGCCCTGAGTTACAAGCAACAATTCCCTGTGCTGGCCAGCACTGTGGGCAGTGTATAGGGAGGAGTCAAAAGGTCGCTTTTTATGACCAAAAAGAAAAGTGCAAGTTGTTTCTGTAAACAAAGCGAATTGTTTTCCCCCCGAGATACACTGATGTCAGTGTTGGTGCATTTATTACTGATTACAGCCCGCTCAGGAGGGGGTGGGTGTTTGTGAGCCTCCACCTTGCCCCTTTCCTGTGCTGTATGGCAGTTTTTTTAATAGTACCATTAATCCTGAAATTATCTTCAATATTTTAAAGCTGATAAACAAACAACGTATTCACATTACTTTACACTCTGTGTAGTACAGTCCTTGGGGGGTGAAATAAAGTCACCTTTAGGAATGGAAACCAAATAAGATATTTATGTTTAGGAGACTGGGTGGTGTTTCACACTAAATGAAAACATGAAGGTAACTCAGGTAACAATAGGTGACCATGTAGAAGACAGAATGGGAAAAGTGTGATTTTGCTTTGATTGGCAATATCAGGGAAGGTTCTTGAGTGCCACCTTGTTTAGTGGTTTTGTGCTGATTTGATATCCTGGGGGATTTTGTGAGTGTTTGCAATTCCAACTGTAGATTGAGTGGGAAGAACATAGGAGAGTCTCACCTTCAGAAAGCTTTTGCAATCCTAAACCGAACTGTGCTCTATGGCTTAGCAAAATAAAAAGGCAGACCAGTGCAAGAATGGCAGCTGGTGACGGTACCCATGGACCCTGATGACAGGCAGGGAGCATCTTGAAGCCCCCAGTCCTGCATCCCAGGCATCACCTGCAGCTGGGTGTTTGCCTCTGTTGTTTCTCTGTATGTACCCGGAGCACAGCAAAGCAATCTGAATGAGTGCAGCGTTCAAAACCCCACAGTGGCCTGTTCTTAGGGCAGCAAAGTGAACTGACAGCTCTCCACCTCGAATCAACGGGAGCGAGGCCTCGCTGATGCTGAAAAGGGGCAGATGTTTGGTGCTGTGTGGGAGCAGGGCCAAACTGCAGAGCACTGGGGGGCCTTTTGGGGAGGTAGATGAAACCTGTGGAGGACTTGTCTGTGCTGAGGAAGCTGGAGCATCCCAGCAGGGGAACAGGAGGTTTTAAGCTTTGCCGGTAGTGCTGCACCTTGAGCAAAATTCGTGCCTGCCCTTATTTAAAAATTCCTTTATAATTGTGGGCTTGGCGAGAGGCTAATCTGTTTACATAGGCGTACAGGAAAGAATGTGCTTCCTGGGAGTGCTAACAGCAGCTCCACACCCGGGAAAAACTCGGGTCCTGCTCCAGGGGGCACAGCAGGGAGAGTCCAGAACAGCAGTGTTTCTTGCAGAAATCGGAGACAACCCTCCTCTTCCCATCTTCTCCTTAGTTTAACAGTCAGAGGGGGAAATAATTAATTCACTGCTAAATGCCCTTGTAAAGTGTTGGTCTGGAACTCATCTGCCTCCTCTGTGAGTTGAAAAAATCAAAGCTGTCCAAGCAAACCAGGACCGAAGGGGGTCACCACAGACAGTTTTGGCTGGGTGTGTCCTGAGCTCTCCAGCAGCTTCTAGTAAGCTTCTAAGCTCCTAATATATGAGAAGCCCATAGATCAGTGGATAAGGGTTAAAAACAGAATAAACCACTGGCCTCCAAACTTTTTTGTTCAGTAAAAAATTTTGAACATGCACCCCCTATACATACATATATATTTACTTAGGATTTGTACACATGTACTACTGTACTGATAGATACGTTATAAAACATGCACAAAATAGACTTTTAAACATGTAAGAGAAGGATAAAATAAACACTACTTTGAAAAAATACGTATATTTTATTTAATTATTAGTGGTGCAAAAGGTATGTTCTTCCCCCAGCCTCACTGGTTGCCTTGTGCACCCAGTTTGGAGACCCCTGGTACCAGCCACTGGTTGAGGCAGAGCTGGTTATCTGGGTCCTGCTTGAAAACTACAGGAGCTGTGTTACTGTATTGGGGCTGAATGGTAAGGCTAATAAAATCCAGAAAATTTTCATCAGGTTTGTAAATAGAGACTGTCTGCAACTGGGTTGGGAACCACTGGAGTCAGCTGGGTAAATCTGAGCAAAGCCTTTGTTAGGGAATGATAATGTTTGGTTACATCTCTTTAACTGGAAAAGAAAAGCAGGTGAACAGCTTTTGAGTTCACTCTTTGATCACCCACAGAGGGGTATTTAGAAGGACTTTTTCTTCTAATATGAGGTGGACAAATAGCAGGGTGGGAAATAGAGGTACAGAGCGGGGATGGGATTTCTGAACATCAGTCCTGGAAGCAGTCCTCAGCTCTTTTGTGTTGAGGTAGTTACTTAGTGTTGGGCCAAAACACGCTTTGTGTGTAAAGTTATCGTCTAAAAATTGATGTAAAAAGATGAATTGTTATGAAAAATGGACACTTAATAGTATTTTATATACTAGACATCTGTGAAGAGCTTTGTGTTTTTCCATGGCTATCCTCATGTTATGGATGAGGGAATAAATGTAAGTGGAAATTTGTATTAGGAATATGCAAAATGGCTCTTGGAGTTGCTTAAAACCAAACATGCTGTGAATATATTGCCTGAAAGTTGTAAACAGCTGAAGTTCAGCCATACTGGAGTAATGCATTTACCAGAATATCATTAAATATTTCTCTTGTGAAAAAGTCCCCTCGTTCCTGCCTGACTAAAAGTGAAGTTTGCATAAATAATTCATTTTCAGACTGTGACCAAGCATGGTAGAATTCAACTGGCATGACTTGGTGAAGAAGATGCAATCCTGAGGAGAGGACACTGCTGTCTGTGAGAGCACCACAGGGAAACTTGTTTTATGGCTTTTTACCTGGCTGCTCTCATACACACGGCTTTTGTCTTCTTTCCCAGCTTTGGAGCTGACAACAATCGAGTTCTCAAAACACCTTATTTGCCTCTGTTAATAAATTAGGGTTTAACTATGCGCTTGCTTCAGGCGCTGTACTGAAAGCCGGACTTCAGTGGCTTGGGCAACAAATTCCCTCCTGATGTATTCCTGCCCAGCGGTGCCAGCCTCTTGCCAAGGCTGGCAGAAATCACGGCACACACACACCACGTCCCACAGCTCTGCACTTTTCATCCCTGGAGCTCGTGTTACTGGGATGGGAGCTTGCCTCTGACAAAGTACAGCATCTTCCCGTTTATGCAAAGCAAGCAAGTGATAATCCTACTGATGTGACGAAATTACTTGTAGGATAATGGGAGGGGAAGGGTTTGTGTGAAGGCAGCTTACTGTGAGGTTGTCCCTGAGGTGGAGCTGTGCGTGTGCCTTTTCCATTGAGGTCGTAGGTGAAGAGTGCCCTTAAAACATGAGAGAGGGTGAGGAGGAGAATTTCACTTGTTCAGGGGAAATATGTGTGTCCACAGATACATGCATATCTCTGTGTATCTGGGTTGGGTTTTGTTCAGCACAGGCTACAGGTCGTCCCTGCATATGAATAGCGCCATCACTGTGAATTCAGTGTGTTCCTCCACCACTGGGCACCCACCAATGCAGACACTGGTCTTCTATCATCACCTTGTTTACCTTCCAGGTCTCACAAAGTTCTTAAACGTGATTTCTTTGCAGGATGTGATCGGCGGAGCACTGATTTCGGCCGTGCTGCTCGTGCTCTTGTATCCTGCGTGGGACACGATAGAGCACTTGCTGTTAACTAGTCCCTTCTGCCCACTGTTTTCCATAGTTGTGCCTCTTGTCTTATGTTACAACTACCCCAAACTAGACTATTACAGCCCTACTAGGGGAGACACCACTACTATCTTAGGAGCAGCAGCTGGAGCAACTGTGGGGTTTTGGTTAAACAACCAGTACAACCAGACTGCACCAGTCTATGCCAGCGAAAGTTTTCAGCTTGGATTTCCTCTGATCACCACTAAAGTGGTGGTTGTGCTAGCCAGGTTCTTTGTAGGCATCTTAGTTGTCCTGCTGACGCGCTGGCTCATGAAGAACGCGGTCCTTGGTGCGCTGGGTTATCAGTACAAGTTTCCCATTCGTGACCTGGAGGCCCGGAGACGACTGGAAGTTGAAGTGCCCTATAAGTTCATCACATACTCCTCAGTTGGCTTCACTGCTACCGTGATTGTGCCGCTGCTTCACAAGCTGTTGGGGCTGGAGTGAGCTCAGCGCCTTCCTCACCGAGCGGCACCACCACCTCAGAGACGTGAGAACTCCATCACAGCTGGTGACTTGACCAAAAAGTGTTTTGTGCCTTTCTGCACTGGTGTGGTGAGTCGACTGTGGCTGGATGCCAGGGGCTCACCAAAGCCTCTCTGTCACTCCTCAGCTGGGCAGGGGAGAGAAAATAAAAAGAGAGGGTCATTGGTTGAGATAAGGACAGGGAGAGATCTCCCAGCACTTACAGTCACAGGCAAAACAGACTCGACTTGGGGAAATTAGTTTAATTTATTACCAAACTAATCAGAGTAGGAAAATGAGAAATAAAACCAAATATTAAGAATGCCTTCCACTTACCCTTCCCTTCTTCCCAGGCTCAACTTCACTCCTGAATTCTCTATCTCCTCCTACCCACCATCACAGGGGATGGGGAATGGAGGTTACAGTCAGTTCATCACATGTTGTTTCTGTTGCTCCTCCCTCCTTGGGGGTAGGATTCCTTACGCTCCTCCTCTGCTCCAGTATAGGGTCCTTCCCATAGAAGACACCTCTCCAAAAACTTCTCCAGTGTGAGTTCTTCCCATGGGCTACAGTTCTTCATTAACTGCTCTGGCATGTGTCCCCTGGAGGAGGTCACAAGTCACAGCCAGGAGCCTGCTCCAGTGTAGGCTTCCCACAGGGTTGCAGCCTCATCCCCCTGCCCCTATGTGAGATCTCCACAAACTGCAGGTGGGTCTCTGCTCTACTAAGGACTTCCATGAGCTGCAGGGGGACAGCTGCCTCACATGGTCTGCACAACAAGCTGCGGTGAAATCTCTGTTCTGGTACCCAGAGCACATCTTACTCCTCCTCCTTCAGTAATCTTGGTGTCTGCAGAGTTCTTCCTTTCCCACATCTTCACTCCTCTCTCTGGCTGCAGTTGCACGGGGTTTTTCCTCCCTTCTTAACTGTGTTATCCCAGAGGTGTTACCACTGTTGCTGAGGGGCTCAGCCTTGTCCAGCAGTGGATCTGTCTTGGAGCTGGCTGGCACTGGTTCTGTTGGACACAGGGGAAGCTTCTGGCACACCTTCTTAGAGAAGCTACCCCTCACTACCATGGCCTTGCCACACAAACCCCAACTGGCTGACTTGGAGGGGTCACAGGAATTGCTGGGCACAGATAACTTTGGGTTAGAAATTGCTGCCCCCACTGTGTCCTGTAACTAGAGACCCTTGGTCCAGGTGGCTAAAGATGACAAGCACAGAGCCAAAATTCCTCCCAGAGTGGCAGCAGTGGCTGTTTTGCCATGGGGCTGGGGGTGCCAGGGAGTGTGGCTGTGCCCCTCGCTGCCCTGCTGTGGTCCTGCTCCTGCTGAAGCAGTAGAGCAATCCAAGGAAGGGCTCAGGTTTGGGGCATGGGAGAGCAAGTGACTGGTGGTGTGGGGGAAGAAACAACCATCCAAGAGTGAAGTGCCATCATCGGGCAGAGCTCACAGTTTCTGATGGCACTGCCAGAGCTGGCTAGTTCTGTGTGGATGGTTTTGTCCATTAGAGTTCAAAAAAACCCTCCAAACATAAAACACAAGGAAAATCTAACAGAAAACATTTTATGTGATTTGCAACAAGTTTATCTTGGATATTAGTAAGAAAGCCTCCACTAAGAGATCATTTTACCACATACAACTGAGCAGAGTTATTACCACAACACTGATGTTTGTATTCAAACTGGTTAACTCAGATTAATCTCCTCTGTCTAAGGGACAGGGGAAAGTCCTTCCTGTCATGCAGGGATGACAAGTAGTGTCCACAAACTGCGTTGTGGAAGGAGCTGAGTAGTGACTCTGGTGACTGCAACATGTGGCAATGATATGATGCCATCATTTTCTGGTGCTGCACAGCATCACAGTTGGTCTTCCATGCGTCCTGCAATACTGTGTGTACACTTGTAGAATAGCAGGTTAGGAGTGTTCATGGGGGGATCATCCCTATAACTCAGGCTGCTTATTTAAAAAAATATATATCAGCTGTTAGACCAATGAGCTGTTGAGAAATACAGTGGTGAATGTGGTCTGCTTGGCTGGAGAAAAATGTTCCCATGCTATCGCTGCAGAGCTCCAAGCATGGCCCCCGTGCCTTCCCTGGCAGAATGTACTGTGAGAGCCAGCTTTTTAACCATGCACGCTTGTCTTCCTGGCTGCAAGGAAAATGAACCTGAAGAATGTAAAGGAATTGTAAAGAGTGGTACCTGGGAGTTCCTCTGAGGAGCGGGAGGCACGTGTGTGAAAGGGCTGTGCCACTTTAAAACCCAGGGTGTCGGTCTCCAGAGGAAATGCAGGCAGAAATTTTAACCACTTTTAGATTTGTTCAGGCTGTGGATAAACTGTTTTATATCAGGTTGTGTGGACTTCACATGTGCATGCCAACAGCTTCAGCGAGCCCTTCAGCAGGGCTCATGCCCAGTCACGCTTGCCCTTGGGTGAGTGCTGGACTCCGGCCACCAAAGCCATGGGGTTCCATCCTCAGCCTCTCTCCCTCCCACACACCACAAAAGTGCTGCCATCAGGCTTTAAAACACCTTTAAAACTCCTGTGTTAAGAGTGCTGTATGATGTACAGCTGCAGCACAGAGGTGGAGCCCTGTGGAGGGGCCACACCACAGTGGATGGGACCAAAACTGGGAAAAAACTTGGCAGCAAGATGAGTGTTTAAGCTGGGGGGCGAATCAGTCCCAAGAAAGGCACAGCTTGACAGGGACATTCATGCAGCTTTATGTGTAAAATTTCTGTTCTGATTCACATCTATTTTGTGCTACAAAGATTTTATAAATTATATATAAATGCTGCACAAGTATTTTTATAGTATTAACCTGCATGTGATTCATGCAATAAATGCAAACTGTATTTGGTTCAAATTTTAAAATATACCTATTTTGCAGAGTTTGGTGTTTGTCTGTTCATTTTATGTCCTCTATTGCTACTTGTAAATGACTGATGTGAGGGGAATGAGTCCCAGTTTATACAGATTCCCAAGTGCAACCATGCACCTCTCCTCCCAAGCTGTCCCATTTGTGGCCCCTTGTCTCCTGCTCAGTCTAGCTGAATTTTTGCATTCATTGAGCAGCCCAACAAGGTTTTGTGGCCAAGGATGTGTATTTGAAACCAGGTAGGGCCATATTGTTCTACCAACATCATGCCCTGCCTGGAAGTGGTATGGCCCTGGGCCCCAAGTGCCCACAGCTGATGGGGGTGAGCCCAACTGCTGCAACATCCCTGGGCCACCTGGGTCAGACAGAGCTTTCAGCTGGGCTCTGTGCTTGTGAGATGCTCATGGGACCTCAGCCGTTCCCACAGGGCCAGGTTTGGAGAGGCAAGTCCTCTAACAAGGTAAGAGACTTCACCCTTTCTGTATTTCATTAACCTGAAGAACCAGGTCCTCGCAGAAAACTCGTGTGTGTCTTTGCTGTCTGTGGAAAGGCTCCCCATCCCTTCATCCCTGCAGTGTGGGTGCCTCTGCATTTCTAGTGTGGTGGTAGAAAGCAAGTTTTGTGGCGGGTTTGCTGGTCATGTTCTGTTCTCAGTAACACAGAGTCACCAGCTGAATCCTCTTGAGTAGGCATGCTCAGATTTTAGAATAAAACACTGTGTTTGATGCGAATGGGGTTGGAGGTAACTTCCAGAGCATCAGCCTTGGAGCCTGGGCTGTTGACTTCTGTCTGTCCTGGTCCAGTGCTACAGGTCTCCATCCTGTGGCTGCCTACAGCTGGAGGGGTGGTGCAAGGCAATCTGTTTCCTTCATTATTCTGTCAAGAGAGATGTAGCAGGCACCTCACCCTTAGCTTAGTCCACTCTGTCCTGCCTTAGGCTGCCTGCTGAAATGCTCACTTTGCAAATCATTTTCCAGGCATGTGGTGCCAACACAGCCTTCAACCTGTAACCCTGCCATCGAGCATCTCTGTGTGATGGTCCCCTGGTGCAGAACCAGCTACTCTGCCAGCTGCCAAATGGCATTGCACGTTTTGGCAGGGATTAAAACCCAAAGCGGCAAGCACTGAATTTTCCTGCTTTAATTTTTCAGCGGTAATTTGGTCATGACCCCAGTCTCCTAATCCATCCAAATTTCTATGCAAAATCACCAGCAAGCTGGCACCTTGCTTTTTGGGAAACAGGTGATGTAATTTAGGGGCTGGAATACAACGGCCTGAGTTTCAGTTTTGACCCTTCTAATCTGTGCTACATGTTAGGAGATGCGAGTACCTCTCTGAACAGGGTGGAAGTGCAGCTCAGTAGTGTGTGGGATCTTGCACATTTGCTAAAACCTGTGTAAAGCAAGGCCCTTGCTTGCTGCCAGCCAGCTCCAGCTCCAGCTCCAGCTCCAGCTCCTGCTGGAGCACATCGGTTCCCCCATCATCTGTTGGGGCTGGCAGTGGGCTGGCAGTGATGGCCAGCCTGCCCACTGTCCCTCTGCTGCCCTGCTCACCTGGCTGCCCTCGCACCAGGCTCGGTTTCGAGGTCACTGGGCGGTCAGAGGTGTTGTGTGTGAGAGGCCGTGACCCCCCAGCAGCCTCCTGGCAGCGCCCGGTGCTGTTGCTCAGCCTATTCCATACTCACCTGCCAAACTGAGAACGATTTGAATTGCAAGCAAGCACGGTGCCAGCACGGAGATGGAAACAGTCCCGAGTGTCACCTTTACATAAACACTCTTGTGCAATAGCGAGGGTGACCTGTGAGCGCAGGGGCCTGTGCTGGGAGCTGCAGCCAGGCTGTCTCAGGGTTCTGCTCCTTTGGAAAATCAGCTTTCCAGCTCCGAAGCACAGCCAGGACAAACCCAGAGGTGCTCATGTCCAGCAGAATGGAACTCAGCAGTCACCTAGATGGCACCCTAAACCAGCTTTGACCTCTCTGTCACCAGCTGTCCAGCTTTTTGTGCTCATGTTCTGATCCCCAGAGATGACCCAGTACACACAGGCAGCAGGGGCAGGCCAAAAGCAATCTGTAACTGGGGACCAGTAGTGAAAAATCCCACTTCCAGCTCTTCTTTAAAAAGAAAATCCAAGTTCAAAAGATGTCAAAAAGTCGCACAGAAGCCACCATGAGCAGCAGATATTTCCTTTGACAGAGACCATGGCTACAACAAAGGGTAAAAGCAAATTTCACTGCTCACAGTGGCTTGCTCTTGCAGGAAGCTGGGTGACAGCTACCTCGAGTTCTGCATACAGCTACGAGCAGGCTGTAAATACCAGTTAATTGGTTTGGAGCTATGAAAGACAAAGCCTTGCAATAAATACACCAGACTTACATGAAGTGCCCCACTCATCAGGAATCACGGTTAATCCTGAGCACAGCACTACAGAAAAGCTTGAATTTCATTGCCACAGCAGCCCCTGCAAGGCTGCTGGCACCACAGTTATCTGGGGGGGAGGGGGGCAGGGGCTCCAAATGGGTTTTTTAACCTTTACCTTGATTCTCATCCTCCACTTTTAGCAAGTAATGGTACTTACCTGGGACAGAGTTAGTGTCCTGTTAGTGGTGCATTTAGCTGCCAACGCATGGGCAAATGGCATGAAAGAGAAGCGATCCCTGAAAGCCTCGCAACACATGCCACCACAGCTCAAGCCCTTAGTCCCAGCCTAATCTGGTCTTTAAACTCAAAGGACAGTAAATTCACGGCAGAATTGGGACACCCAAAGAGTCAGAAAATCTTGTGTAGAGAAATATATTTAGTGCACGCAAATATGCCTGCGCTCTGCTGCAATGCAAATCTGCCTTATTGTCGTCCTAATCCCCGTGCATGACACACCAATAAACAGGGGGGGTTAATACTTACCATCTGCGTTACAGATTGCTTCCCACACTGCGAGCTTGCTTGGTTACAGTTGTGTAGGCACCACGGAGAGAGAGATATATCCTGCAAACGGCAAGCTGGCTAATCCCTTGGGAGATTTAAAATGTGAGCTGCAGTTTTCTCACTCTCCGTGGGCACTGGAGTCAGTCGTGCAACGTATGGCAATAGCTATATTCTCATTTCACGTCTGTCATGCAGAGATAATTAAAATCTACACTTCCATCTGAGGGGAACCGTAGGGTTTCCAGATGGGTAACTGTAGTGCATTTTTCATACTGGATTAACACTTGCACCAAAAAGCCTTGCCTGTTGCCCTCCCACCTGTTAAGATTACTGGCGGGGCTGCCATCGAAAAGCCCTCGTGAGTCCAGTGATGTGGGTCTGTGCAGACATGCAGCTCGTAAAACTGCGAGCTTACCTCACCCTCAGCACTGCACATCCCTCTGCTCAGTGAGGCAGTCATTGTAACACCCTCCTCCAGCGTCTCCCAGATGCCCACTCTTGGACAGTCCCCTCCTGGGACCAGGGGCTATCTGGCTCTCGCAAGGGAAATGACCCACAGCGGATAGACCTAACATAAAATACTGGCTATTGTCAGCCTGCAACATTAGCAATGGTTATAATATTGCATAGGAGGGACAGCCAACTCCACAAGCCAGCCAGTAAAGAGCTGCTTCAACATACTGAGCTGACCACCCACTTGGTGACATTCCCACAGAAAGGCTGGATCGGCCATCGCCCTGCTGGATGGAGCTTCTCAGTTTTCCCAGAGAGCCGAGGCACAATGCGCCAGGCTGTGGCATAACCGCTGCCAGAAAGCCACCTAGAAGGAAAAGCCTGACCCATGAGAGAGGTTCTCATGTCTTGGCAGGGGCAAAACTTCAAGAGGAGTAATCCTATCCCAAAGCTGCGTGGTCCCTGCGCAGCTGGGGTCCAGAAAGCCACCGGCGGGCTGTGAGTGCAGCGGGCCCACACTGACTTCTGCAGGCAAACATGCCAGCCCCAGAAGGACAAAGGCTTTGATAGTGCTCTGCTCCTCATGGAAAAGACCGCTGGCATGTGCTCTTAAATGCGCTTCCCCAGTTTGGTTTGGAGCTTCAAAAAAACGCTAGGCTTACATCAACCATGAAAAAATTTCATTCCACCCCCTCTCCTTTCTGAATTTAGAATGATAAAGGATCAACAGTTATGTCTGGAGTAGGGGAGCAGATATTACACACATCTTGCTTACAAAATAGCTCTGGTTTTCATGAAACAAGTTTATTTTCCTCCCCCAGCCATTGATGAGCACATGACAACCGTACAGAATAAAAGCTCAACTCCTTAGTTCTGCTCACATTCACTCAACATTTGCTCTAATCAATTATCTTATTTCATGCAATAAGAAAAGAATGAGATTCCTGTTATGCAGCCATAATCAGTTACAGTATGAAGCTGTGTCTGTGGAACATTTCTGATTTTGAAAACTAATCATGTGCTCTGCCATTACATTTCCCTTGTAGAACACTGGGCTTTGACCCAACTTGTTTCTTCCCCCCTGCCCTTAAAAAACATTGATGGCACAGCCTAGCCCGAGATGCCACATTCTTTCCCTGCAGAAGCCAGCCAGATTGACTGTAAGGAACACATTTACTCAGGGAGACAGGGTCTGTTTTTCTAGTTTATTGGAACATAAAAGCACAAGCCAATGTCCCCCGGGAGGGAGACAAAAGAGCAGAGGGTGCTGCATGTGACAGTGGACGGCTGTCGGAGGATGAAAGTCATGTCTTCACACGAAGGGCTCAATATTGATCTCCAGGGCAGAGCATGGCATGGTGAGCTCAAACTTGGTGATAACATCAGGGTGCAGAACTCCAAGTTTCCCAATGCTTTGACCTTTGGCAAAGACCTCAGCACAGCGACCAGGAAAGAAAGCAGAGCCTGTAAAGAAAGTGAGAGAAAAATCAATGTTTCTTTGGGCCAGAGAAGTCAATAGGCATTTAATGTGCAGAACAAAGCTCTCAGTATTAAACTGTTCTCTGTGCTGAGATGCTAAGAAGGGGCTCTCACTTTCTTGCATTAACAG